TTGTACCAGGAACAAAAATAATTAAATAACATGCAAATAACAGCACCATGAAGAGTGCCAGTTTTTATCTAGTTATTTATTTAGATTTAAAAAAATACAAAAAGTTGTCTGTCTTTTTATTATTCTAGGTAATCAGGGCTTGCTCATCATGGAGCTACTGCCCTTCCAAGAGTACACCAGAATTCTAGTGGTAGTTGATCTCCTGATGAAGATGGCACATTTTATACCATGTCGCGGCCTCCCCACCGCTCAGGAAATAGCCTGTCTATTCGAAGACAACATCTTTCACCTTCATGGGTTGTCCACAAGCATAGTATACAACTGGGAGTCCCTGTTCATTTCTTGCTTTTTGTGGGAATTTCTGCATCTTTTGGGCATCAAACCTTGTATCTCAACTGTTGAGTGAATCAATCAATTTCTGAAGCAGGACCTACGCTGCTTACTAAACTACCAGGATGATTGGCTGGAACACATTCCCCACACCGAATTTGCCTACAACTACACACATGCCCTGAATCAACAGACGCTTTTCTTCATGAATTATGGGCTCCACTCTTGGTATCACCTCAAAATCTTTCTCAACATTCACCAAGTGCACAGAGCTGCTGGAACCATTTTTATAGCGGGGGTGCTGAGAGCCATTGACTCAAACTGTAAACTCTGTATATAATGGAAACCACTTCAAGCCAGGGGGTGCAGCTGCACGCCTAGTTCCAGCACCTATGCAAGTGCATCAAGGACTCAAACACCAGTTAGAAGAGGCTAAGACAACATACAAATGCCATGCTGACACTCACCATCAGATGACCCCTAACTTCATGGTAAATGACAAGGTTTGGCTTGTGCATCCGTGAAGCTGGACCACAAGTACTAAGGCCATTTGCAATCACAGAACGACATAACTCAGTAATATTTTGATTGCAGCTGCCAGAATCCCTTAAGAGCCACCCTGTGTTCCACATCTCTCTTGAAATCTTTTGTTGAAAATCCCTTCCCACACTGCTCTACTCCTTCCCTGCCAATAACCATGCAGGACCAAGAGGAATACATGATCCAGCAGATTCTGGACTCCTGCCGAGTCCAGGGAAGACTCCAATATCTGATTGACTGGGATGGCTATGGCCTGGAGGAGCGGCCATGAGAACATGTGAAACACGCTCATGTCCAGAACCTCCTGCTTGCCTTCCATCGGGCCTACCCCAAGAAACCCAGCCCAAGTGCTCCTGAAGAGCAACCCCGAAAGGAGAGGGGTGCTGTCAGGGCGAGACCAGCTAGGATCAGCTGCTGGCCTACTTCTTGAATAACATCTCTATAAAGAGCCCCACTGCACTGCCTTGGAATTGACAGAGAAGCCTCAGCACCTCATTGGCTGTTTGTTTAGCAGCCCTGCTTACAGTCCTGGCATCCACAGGAGATCAATGACTGCTGAATGTGAACCACACCCACAGCTGTGCTTGCCCAGCTCTTGCTTTCAGCCCTTGCTCTAGCCTACTTCCAGTCCTTGGTCCTGCCTGGTTCCTGTCTTGCTCCTGCCTTGTTCTTGAACCTTCTCCTGCTCCACCTGCCACCCACACAGGCTTCTGACTTCTGGGTTTGATCCTCGGCTCCACCTCTGGCTTATGATTCTGGTTTACCCTACGTCTCTGACATTTAGCTTCTGTCCCTGTGGTACTGACCCTCAGCTCATTCCTGGACTCTAACCACCCTGGACCCAGCTCTAACCTGTAGGTTGAACTCTCATTTCAACCATTAGGTCTGACTGCCTATGGCCTGGTTGTCTATAGAAATATGATCTAGATTAAATTACTATAATATAGGTGTACATCTGGTTGAAAGACTGTACTCAAAGAGCAGTTATCAGTCTTAGAATTGAAGGACTGGAAGGGACCTCGAGAAGTCATCTAGTCCAGTCCCCTGCACTAATGGCAGGACTAAGTATTATCTAGACCATCCCTGACAGGTCTTTGTCTAACCTCCTCTTAAAAATCTCCAATTATGGAGATTCCACAATCTCCCTAGGCAATTTGATACACTGCTTAACTACCCTGACAAGAAGTTTCAATCTTCTCTCATAGGTCATGTTTTCTAGACCTTTGAATCATTTTTGTTGCTCTTCTCTGGACTTTCTCCAGTTAGTCCACATTTTTCCTGAAATGTGGCATCCAGAACCGGACACAATACTCTATTTGAGGCCTAATCAGTGCGGAGTAGAGCGGAAGAATTACTTCTCACGTCTTGTTTACATCACTCCTGCTAATACATCCCAGAATTATGTTTGGGTTTTTTTTTGCAACAGTGTTATATTGTTGACTCATATTTAGCTTGCGATCCACGATGATCTCCAGACCTCTTTCCACAGTACTCCTCCCTAGGCAGTCATTTCCCATTTTTTTATGTAACTGATTGTTCCTTCCTAAGTGGAGTACTTTGCATTTGTCCTTATTGAATTTCATCCTATTTACTTCAGACCATTTCTCCAGTTTGTCCAGATCCTTTTGAATTTTAATCCTATCCTCCAAAACACTTGCAACCCCTCCCAGTATGGTATCATCCACAATTTTTAAGTGTACTCTCTATGTCATTATCTAAATAAATGATGAAGATGTTGAATAGAACCAGAACCAGACCCAGAACTGATCCCTGGGGGACTCCACTCATTATGGCCTTCCAGCTTGACTGTGAACCACTGATAAGTGATAACTACTCTCTGGGAATGGTTTTTACACCAGTTATGCAGCCACTATATCGTAGTTCCATGTAGGTTTTATTTCCCTAGTTTGTTTATGGTTCGCTGTCAAACTGGGAGGACCCACAGGGGTTTGTCCTGGGTCCAGTATTATTCAATATTTTCATTAATTATCTGGATGATGGAGTATACACTTATAAAATTTGCTGACAACTTCATGATGAGAGGGGTTGCAAGCATTTGGAGGACAGGATTAGAATTCAAAATCATCTTCATAAATTGCAGAATTAGTCTTCAAATCAGTAAGATGAAATTCAATAAGGACAAATGCAAAGTACTGCAATTAGGAATGAACAATCACTTCCACACATACCGAATGGGGACTAACTGGCTAGGCAGCAACAGCTCTCCCTTGAGAACTAGCTTTGTCTTTCCTTTTTCATGCTGTCATATTTTATCTTCTTGAAGTACAGGTGGCTACCCTGTTTATGGCCCAAAGGAACTTACAATGTATCTGTAGCCACCTTCATGTTTAGCATGGAGATGTGGCCCACAAAGGCGACAGATAACATCCTGCACTAGCCATTACAGTGTTGCCAGTTCTCACCATTTTATCCCAAGTGTTGTGATGCATAGTGTTTTTCTTAAAGCCCCAGCTCTGGGAATCACGCTGTTATGTGAGAATCCCAGCTTTGTGTTTTGGAAAAAGGATGTTTCTACCCTGTGTGTTGGTGGTGATTCAAGAGCAAGAACGTGATACAAGAACACCACCAGCAGCAGGCAAACAGTAAGAACCTCCTTTTGTTAATTTTAGAAAACCTTGTGATGTGTGAGCCAATCTGGGATTTTTTTTTTTTTTTTTGGATCCTGATTCATGAATGCTCAGGGGTGACAACACTCAGAGCCTCCTCCGCTGCCCCGGGGTCCTGCGTCCCCATGGCCCAGGCCGTATTAACCAGGGGAATTGCTCCATGGGATGCCAACTAGCCCCTGGCTTGGTGGACCCGCCCCCCTGCAGGAAGCCTGGGGCTGCTGGGAAGGAAAATGACCCTGTAGCGCGCCCAGCAGCCGGGCCCAGACGCCTCAGCACCCTCTAGCTTCGACTAGGGCTGAGGCCCCCTGGAGTCCTCCACCTTCCCTCCCCCGGGCCTGTGGCCGTTGCCGCTCTAGTCCTTCTCTCTATGGTTTCCTGCACTTCCTGCTCTCTGTGGTTTCCTGCGCGAGGGCAAACCCCGCGCTGGGCGGAAGTGCGCCGTGCTGGGGATCATGGCGGCGGTGGATATCCGAGGTACCGGCTCCCGCTCTCTGTTGATGGGACTGGAAAGCGACGTGAACGTGCCGGCGGGCCGTGTGCGCGGGGACGGGGGTTCTAACGCTGCAGGCTCCCTGCCCGGCCGCCGAGGCCATGGCGGCTGGGAGCTCTTCGCCGACGATGCGGGCGTGCACTTTAGAGACGGCCCCTGATGTCCCGGGCGATTCGGCACATCCAGACCCAGGGCTCATCTATAAAGTACAAACCGCAGGGCAGCCGCTGGGCTTAAACGGCCCCTCCCCTTAAAAACCGCCCCCGGGGGGCCGACCCTGTTACCAGCCCCCAGCCCCATGCACCGACCCGTCTGGGGTGGCTGGAGCTGGCTGGTTAAGGGTTAATCTCCTTGGCCTTGGCGGCTCCTCTCCGCCCTGCTGGGGCTGGCTGGGGGAGCAGGTGGCGGGAGACGGGCGCTGTGCTGTGAGCACCCCCGGCCCCCTCGCCGGCCTGCCGGACAAGAGACTCCGCAGCACAGGGTCTCTGTGGCATGTCTGTGCTGCTAGCTCCTGAAACGCCGCCTGTCACCCTTCCTGCCGTTACAGAGCTCGCAGGCAGAGCCCCGCTGCTCTCTCCTGACTGTTACTTCTGCAGGTCCGCGGTGATGGTTGCCGCGCGGCATGTTGTTATGTGCCTTGGTACTGGCATGTCGTCCAGGGAAACAAGCTGCAAGCCTGTGACCGGTGGCAATGAGAGACCTGCGTGATCTCTGTATCTTTGTCATCTCAAAGTTCTTTAAATCTCAGAAGACACTGAATCCCCCTCTCCACAAAATAAATAACCACATAGAGATGTAACAGTCCAGAAGCTCCTTTTCTCCCTTTCTCTGCATGTTACATCTTGATGCTCTTAGCATGGGGTTACTTTGCGTATAGTCATACCTTCTTGGAATACTGCCTTTCTGCAATCTGTAATACTAACCTTTGATTATATACTGACTTTTTACTGCAGAGGATCCCAGAGTGACTTACAAGCTGTAGGCCTGGTTTTGTGGTAGGTTTTGTGGTAGGCCCTGTGCAAACAAGACTTCCACTGAGGTCAGTGGGAATCTTGCCTATCTAGGGACTGCAGGATTGTGCCCTAATTAAATGCAGAAATCACTCCACTAATTGCTGAATTTTAGCCAACTCTCTGTGATGTGGAGACTGGCAGACAAGCAATGCATGTCACCCTGCAACAGTGGGAAATAAGAAATTATGGGTTTACCCATGAGGCAAATGTACTCTAATTGAAAATGCAATGGAAAAAAGCAGACAGGACCGCTAAATGACTCACATGGCAAGCTGCTTGGTACTTGATGTGATTAAGCTGTTGTATTTCTGAAGTGCCCTATTACTTTGGTAGAAAAGCATTGTATTATTTGAGAAGGCTTGCCTTTGGAAAGAACCAATGAATGATATTAGATTAAGCCAAAGAGTGCTTGTATTTAGAATGTCTCCCTATTTGTTGAAGCTGTCCCATCCTAGCTACAACAAAAGTTGAGAGAAAAAAGAAGGTGGAACAGGATGGTGGAGGAGCAGTGAGAGCTGAAACCCCCACCCAGAAGTAGAGCTTCCCTGAATCTGTGAAGAGAGAGGAGCAGAATCTATTCTGAATTATGCTGTAGACTATCTTCATGAAGATCCGATTTTCCCTTTCACTGTTTATATATTGATGGGTGCTATAATGCCTGTCAGATTTAGTTCAGCGGATGAAGGATGGAGGGAATCTCAGTATTTCAAACCTGTGTGTTAGATCGATATACCATTCTTTTTGGCTTCTTTCCATTTCGTGACACAGTTCTGGAGCAGTGAAAAATACTCAGTATAGGACTTGTTGCCTGTCATTAAAGTTTTCCAAACATTCTGAGCTGACACCTCTGCTTGCATTATCTTCAACTTTAAAGTACTCATCTCTGTATATAGACTCATCAAATTTAAATCACAAGTGTTGAATCATGAATAGGGAATAATTGGCTAGGCAGCAGTACTGCAGAAAAGGATCTGGGAATGATAGGGATCACAAATTGAATATGAGTCAGCAGAGTGCTGTTGTGAAAAAAAGGCAATGTGATTGTGGGATGTGTTAACAGAAGTATCATATATAGACACAGGAGGTAATTATTCCACTCTGCTTGACGCTATTGAGGCTTCAGCTGGAGTACTGTGCCTAGTTTTGTGCAACACACTTTAAGAAAGATATGAACAATTTGGAAAGAGTCCAGAGGAGAGCAAGAAAAATGATAAGAGGTTTAGAGAGCCATGACCTCTGAGGAAAGATTGAAAGAATTGGGCCTGTTGAGTCTAGCGAAGAGAAGACTGAGGGGGACATGAGAACCTTCTTCAAATATAGAAAAGTATGTTATAAAGAGGATGGTGATCAGTTGTTCTCCTTGTCCTCCAAGAGTAGTGCAAGAAATAATTGGCTTAGTCTGCAGCAAGGGAGATTTAGGATGGATAGTAGGGAAAAGTTTCTAACTATAAGGATAGTTAAGCATTGGAACAGTTACCTAGAGAGGTGGTGGAATCCCTATCATTCAAGGTTTCTGATAACAGGTTGGACAAATATCTGTCAGGATGGTTTAGGATGCCTCAGCATGGAAGGAGGGACTCTTGACTGCATCGCTACTAGCAAGCTGTCACAGTACTTGGATGAGATCAGCCCATGAATGAAGAACAGCTGGCTGAAGCTCAACTTGAGCAAAACAGAGGTCATGCTGGTGGACAGAAGAAAGTATTTTGAAGAATTTGCAGCCATGGTTCCGTCTCCCTTTGGTTGAGGGGTCACATTCTCACAGTTAGTCACTTCAGTCTGTAGTCTAGGAGTACTCTTGGATTCCTCACTGATGCTCACTTCTTACATAGCAACAGCCATGAGTAATGCTTTTTACCATTTCTGGCTGGCTAGGAGACTCTGTCCCATCCATACAGATGAAGACCTGGCCTTTGTCATGTCTTTGTCACTTCTTGGCTGAGCTGCAGCAATGCAATATACCTGGGCATGAAGCCTTTAGTATTTAGGAAACTCCAACTAGTACAAAACGCTGCAGCACATCTCTTCAGCTATCACGAGCACATCACACCTGTCCTCTGGCTCTCTACACTAACTTCCAATAGAATTTTGAATCAAGTTCAAGGTCCTCAGTCCTTATTTTCAAAGCACTCCATTGCCTGGGGCCAGGGTACCTAAAAACCATCTAAAACTCCAGGACAGATACTGTGGTCAACAATTTCGCTCCCCTGGCTTGATGGACCTGTCTACAATAAGAGTAAAACTCATCTGTGCAGGAGAGAGAACCTTCTCTGGGTGTGGTCCAGGACTGTGGAATGAACTCCCCCAGAAACTAAGGACTATCATAAATCTCACCTCTTTCTGCTCCACATGCAAGTGGCATTTATTTATTTTTAAAAACAACCTATGAAAACAAGACACTTCATTGCAAATGCTTCTCCCTGTGGAGAGAGGATGAGAGAACAAACAACTGACCGATGTGTAATCACAGTCATATTGCTTAATACACTATTGCAAGGTGCTCAGATACTGCAGTGATAAATGTGGTATAAAAACCTATATAGAATAGATTGACGTGCTTTCCAGTCCTACATTTCTATGATTCCATTAAAACAAGAAAGGGAGCGTGAGTAACGTTTGCGAAACTTATCTCACTTCAGTATATTACTTGTATTATAGTAGTGCAGAAAGTTCAATAAAGTGCAGGGGCCCATTGTAGTGAGTGCTGTGCAAACATAGACTACAAGACAGTGCCTGCCTAAAGAGCATGCAGAGTAATTAAAAACAGGATGCACCATGTGGAGAAAAGCACACAGATGGCCAGTGAGGGTAATAAGAGTCTATGGTTACTTAGACTAGAAATGTTAATAATTGTTAGCACTCAAGTTTCTTGGGATACTGATGAACAAGAGTTTTTAAGAGTGTGGTAGAGGTGGGTGTAGGGAAGGAATTTGGAGGAGTCAGCAGAGGCTTAATAAATTGGTTCAGAGTGGGTGTTCCTGGGATATGGGTCAGTGTGGAAGAAAGTGCAGAGATGCTGGTGATTGTGGCCGGTATTGTTGACAGTGTGGTGAGGTCATGACACAACAGGTAAAATAGCATAACGGATAAAAAGGAGAAGCTAGGTTGTGAAAGGACCTTGAGGGTCAAAATTAGAAGTTTGTGTTTGAAGTCATGGAAAAATGGGAGCCAGTGGAATGACTGACTGGGGTGACAAGGCCAAATGGTGGGCTGGACAGATGATCTTAACAGTAGTTTGAATGGATCTGGATGAGGCAACATGAATATCAGGAAAGCCAGGGAGGAGGATGCAGTAATTGAGGGGGGGGGGGAAAGGGGCCTGGATGAGAATATTAATGCTGTGGATAGGGAGAACAGGATGGATCTTGATAATGTATGGAGGAAGAAGTGGTAAAATTTAGATTAAGTCTAGAAGGAGGGTGGAGTTGAAGACAAACTTCAGGTTACAGGGCTGGGTCACTAGGAAAACTGGTGATGGTGACAGAGAAAGTGGTGGAGGGGAGGGTTTTGGAAGTGAGATGAGGATCTCTCTTTTTTATCTTATTGTACCGCCATGGACTTCTGTGTCCCTTAGTTTTGAGTCTCTGTCTCACATTAAACTTCAAAGGTAGATTGAGAGGAATGGTACAGCCATTTGTTGGTTGAGATGAGGATATTCCTCAAACTCTATTTAAATGCATTGAATAAGATGCCTTTTTTGAAAAGACTGGGAATTGTCGTACATTTTTTTACACACACAAAAATGAAGATGTTCCCTTCTGAAGAGGAACAATTGATATATGGTATCAGGGTTGCTTTTTCCTAGAGGATGGCCTCTTGCATGTTATAAAAGCAATAATAAATGGACGACTCAGAAGTAATGGCCAGTAATAGTCTGGTCTGGAGTTGGAACTTTACATTCAGCTTTATGGCATATTTACTCTGAAGTTCCAGTCCTACCTGGGAGAAACTTCTGCAGAAATACAGTCGTCATTCTGGCACAAATGAGATTTTTTTCATGCTTCCTGAAAACCTAGATGAGCAGGTGTCATGCCAAGAATATGAATACTGAGAGGTTTGGGTACCTTATTTTCATTGAGATAAAGGCCTTGGCATATATATTTGGAAAGTATCTAGCATATTGTGGGTGCTACTGCAATATAAATAATAAAATACCTTTAGTACTGGAGGATCTCCTATGTTTATGATGAGGGGAGAGAGTAGTATATGTGAAATAACATGAAAACCTCATTTTTCCATTTTATGTAAGAACTAGACTAGTAGCTCTGAGATTGACAATGCAAAAATGAATTATTCATTTATGTTGTGTTAACCATGGTTTGCTGAGCTCCTAGGTTCACTTCATAAAAGATTCATAATATATTCAATGACATTTTGGATTTGAATCTTTCATTCCTTGTACATTCAAAACTTCAGCTGAAGTAAAACATCTACAAGGGAATGACTATAATTAGAGCTTTGGGTTTGCAAATAATGCAGTAGTCCCATTACATTCATAGGTTTCAATCCTGCATGCAGTTTTCAGTCACTTTTCCATCCATGCGATCTTTCTTTTTTCAGTGTAAAAATTGATGCCTTATCATTGTGTTTCCTACTCTCCCAGGAGTGGAGATTATTACGACTGTGGCTTAAAATTATTGAATTTCTAGACCCTTTAAATTTCATACAGCCATGGGAGGAGAGTCTAGTAAATGTTAGCACATTTATCACTTGACTACGGCATCTACTACTACTATCTCCACAACTTTGTTTGGTCTGGCATTTAATGCTGGCTGCCGCTTACTTATTAGGTTTTCTTTCACTTTCATAGTGAAGATCATGCTTAGTTTGCCCATTCCACTTGGCAAATGCTGCTGTTCTTAATCTAAACCATGTACAGTATGACCATAAGTGCGAGTGCTAATAATTTTTTCCCTACTGGCATTCCGAAGAAATAAAGGTGTCTGTGTATCTTCCATATCTTCATGTAATAGCCAACGGAAGAAATAAATTAAAAAAAAATTGATTTTTGTGGTCAAAATTTTGAATTTTAGGAAAAAAAAAATTTCATGAAAACCTTTTTTTTGACGTGTTCTAATTAGTAGGTCCTTAATTGGTAAGAATCCCTAACCGTACTGACTGTTTTGGTGCTAATTTTAATTTTTTCTTTCCAGATAACCTCCTGGGAATTTCCTGGGTTGACAGTTCCTGGATTCCTATATTAAACAATGGAAGTGTGTTAGACTATTTCTCAGAGCGAAGTAACCCATTCTATGACCGAACATGTAACAACGAAGTAGTCAAAATGCAACGGCTGACCTTGGACCACTTGCAGTAAGTTACTGTAAGGAACGCTGAGTAAACCTGAAAAATTGCTTTCTGGGTTGGTGATTTTCAACTTGTCCACTAAAGGGTGTCACCAACAGCTGAATTGAAGAGTGCAGGGAAAGTTGTGATCCTGCTTCTGTTGTTCCCTGTCTCTGTTCTTCTTTTGAGGTTGATTTACGCAGCCACTTGCAGCCGGGTCCTATCCTCTTTCAGATGCCAGAAGCAATTTATATTCTCCTAGTTCCTGTGGTGCCACCTGTGAAGCATTATAGATAGGATTTTGGGTACACCTGAGATTGCAGGTCTACAGAAATGTCAAAAAAGCCAGTTAGCTAGAAAGCTAATTTTTTGTGTGTGTGTGCAGAGAAGCTACCGACCAGGATAAAAACAGTGACAATGTTTGGGGACTATGACTCAGCCTAATTTTGTAATCAGATGAAGAGGATTAATTTCATGTCTCTTCAATGGGATCTACTGTAGTTGGACACTTAGAGCTTTGCCACAGAATTGTGTATAAGAGTCTACATTCCTGCCACATTGAATTAGGTGTGATAATTAAAACAGATACCGCACCATGGGAAGATTCAGGATGAGAAGTATGACTTTTAATTTGGGCCCGAGGGGAAATGAATGGGTAGGCCGTTCTAATTACCAGTGGCCATTTATCAACATCACAGCATGCAACTGGCTTTCTTTGATGTGGGGCCCTGGCAGGAGAGGGGCACGTGGAACTGCAGGCAGAAGTGAGGTGCATTGACAGAACTATTTGGGGACCTAGAAATAGGCTAGTGTGGGACAATGTAGATCACACTAAATGTTCATTGGTAAAGTTGTGTGCATCTGGTATTGGAGGGGAGGAGCCTTCACATCATCTGAATACATTCTGGTCAGTGCTGTTAGCCTGTCACTTCCATATGTAAACAACATCTGTAACTATAAGTTCCATTTTTCTTCCATTTGTTTCTTCTTCTGCCAGTAAGCTACCTATTTGCCAAGAGGTTGACTCCAGGATTTTTTAATGCACTGTGAGCACAAGGCTAGGTTTTGCTATTTATCTTGGAAAATCCTAATGCAAGAGCTTGTGACCCATCAAGGGGTGACCTTCGGGCCCTGTGATTGTTGTTTTGGTGGGCTTTCACATCCTATATCTTTAACTTTCAGATGAATGGTGTTACTTATTCTGGTCACTTGTCTTTTAGCCAAATGATTGGAGTGGAATATATCCTCCTTCATGCTCAAGAGCCCATCCTCTTCATAATTCGAAAGCAGCAAAGACAGTCTCCTACACAAGGTAAGGGCTCACACAGCTTTTCCCTTTAATGACAATGTTGGTGATTGTCTGCTCTGTGTGTTCACAACAGCAGGGGATTGCCCTCTGGTGGCAAAATACTAATAGTGCAATGAGAAAGTGCTGCTTTTGCAGTAAATTTTGCCAGGAGCAATTGGTAGTTGTTAGCATGCATGCTATGTCCTATATTTATGATATGCTGTACATAAGGTTTTCAGTTTAATTAGTTAAACATAATACTAATTTTTTGCTTGCCTGGGGCTGATTAGTGCAAATTAAATTTCATGCTAATCATTCTGAGTGATTATCATACAATTTGGAAATCTCTGATTTGTTAGTCTCTAAGGTGCCACAAGTACTCCTGTTCTTTTTGCGGATACAGACTAACACGGCTGCTACTCTGAAACCACTTATTAGGGTAAGGGGAACATTCACATTGCTCTTTGCATAATGCCATTTTTATTCTACAGCCTTGCCACTTTGTACTGTGAGCTTCTCAGACTGCACATGTTAAATAGGGTCTTCTAGTAAATACATGACTGGGAGACCTCCCAGGAAAGAAACTGGTGATTCAGTAGGTGATATTTCACCCTGAGTCATTAGTGAACCAAAGCACCCCAGTATATTAGAGGGTGCTGAGGTAGTGTAGATGCCATTATCTGATTAGACATAAAATCAAAGTTCTAACTCTTTGCGGTCATTAAAGATTCCATGGCACTTTAAGTGAGAGTAGAGATATTTCCACTGTGCCATGTCTAAGTTCCAGTTGGGATAACTACATTCTGTCTCCCTATTATATACAGTTGGATTCAGTATTCTTCATATCTTATCCTAAATGGACTTGTAGTGTTCATGTGAGCTGTTAATAAGTTTTTGCATCTCAGATCAGGATGAACTGTGTTCTGTATTTACTGTACATAAGCTGTAAAGCTCTTTGGGATCTTTTAGAATAAATGATAATGTAGTAATGTAAGGTTTTATTTTTGTTCTAATGAGAAAGGGCTTTTGTAATGGATTCATACCTTTCTATTGCTGCTCCTAATTTGCTTGGTTTCTGGCAGTGGCCTTAGTGTATTGTATTCATATTGGAAAAGAGCACCTGACTGCTTCTTAGATTAGATTGAATTTAAAATCTAAATTGAACCTAGATCTCTTGGTGTTGAAGGTGTGTGCCATAACCCAATGTATCACTTCACTGCCTCTGTTGTTCCTTAATATCCAACCTTTTAAAATCTGGAGTGGAGTTATGGCTTTTACAGTATAAACATTCAGACTTCAGCTGTGTAATTTGATCATTCATTGTAGGGAGCTTAGAAGAGAATGATTTAATAATACTCTTTTCAGTTTGTGCAAGATTTCATCGTTATATTGCTTAGTTCCCTGCCTTGGATGTTATCCATATTTTTGTAGCCTGGCACAGATTTTAGGATCTTAAAGGCAGATTAGCTAAAGAAGAGAGTCCTACCCTTCCCTGTGCTTATGAGTTTCAGAATAGGTAATCAGTATTCTCATGGGATTGCAGAAGCATCAGTTTCTTACTTTCCACTTTTAAAAGTACCTTGTCAAAGTATTTTAGGCCCAGAGTTTGATCTTTGTTAAAATGGTTATAATCTGGTGGATGATGTCCTCTTGATTCTAAATATTGTTTAAGGAGAAATATCAGTTGCTAATTTATTTGTAGTGGTGTTGTAGCTGTATTGGTCCCAGGATATGAATGAGACGAGGTGGATGAGTTAATATCTTTTATTGGACCAACTTCTGTAGGTGAACGAGACAACCTTTCTAGCTAAACCATGCCAGACCTGAAGAAAATCTCTGTGTAGCTGAAAAGCTTGTCTCTTTCACCTACAGAAGTCAGTCCAATAAAATATATTGCCTCATCCACCTTGTCTCTCTCAGTTGCTTTGTTAGAAACACAAGCATTGCTGCCCTGGGACAGGCTAATGAAACATCAAATCTGGAACTCTGGCTAAAAAAAAAAATCATACAGCTGACTATGGTGAGGAGTTCTTCCTGACCTCATTAGGTGGTCAGTTTGTGCCCTGAAGCATGAGAACAGAGAGTCCTTATAATTGTATCCTAGTTACTGAACCTACAAATGCTATTCTTACTCCTAGGTCTAATTCTTTAAGGAAACATTTTGTGCTATTTACCTCAGTTATATCCGACAGTAGGAATTCCATAGGTTAAGTGATACTCTTGCTGCATCTGTTGTCACAATGGGACTATGACAGCAGCTATCTGAGCTAGCATTGTCCTCCTTATCGTTGTGCCTGTACCAAGTACTCCAGAGAAGGAGCCCACCATAAGTTCCTCCTTCCTCTCTAAACTAGGTCTGTGCACTGATCATCTCCCTCCTCCCAGAACCATCTCTCACTTCACAAACCAGCTGAGAGCATGTGATAACCCTCGTCTCCCAAACTGATTCAGATTCTTCGCACTGGCTCTGGGGCAGTAGGTGATAATCAAAAACAAACAGAAATTTGTTATAATGGAGTCAGGGATTGAACTCCCTCCCTGTTAGAATGTAGCTTTATCACTGATCCCAGTGCTACAGAGGCTACTGGGTGGAGTGCACTTTCATCATCAACAAGAGTAAAAAGCAGGAATAATAGAGATCACAATGCTAGAGCGGATGGAAATAGCTGACCAGCACACAGTAACGTTGCACTGCGAAGGACACCAATGCAAACCTGTAAACTTATGAAAAGTGCAATTTTGTCTTTAACACCTATGTAGACCAATCAGAGCTGCAGTTTCTAAGATTCTTGCATCTTAAACTACGTGACATTTATTTAACCCTGTCAGAATTAGAACCTCTGGCCACGGAGAAGTGTTTATTTCAATCCTGATTCTTGGACCACTGAATTGTCTTTTCTCCTGATCTAACAGGGAAATTCTGCACAATATTTCTTTAAGGCAGGCCCCTTTCATTTATTTGCTTGCTGCTGTAACTTCAGAAGCCGTCATGGATGGGGGAGAATGAAAGGCAAAAGAACAACTTTAGAGACCCATTGTTGCAGCCGTATGGTTCCAGGGAAAGGGATGAACTTTCATGTTTGTCTTCTTGGTACCATACAGGATGGTAAGTTCTGAATTTCTCCCAGTCAGAAGAGCTGTGGGAAGCCAAAAGAAGCAGCTGTAAAGAAATGTGCTGCTTTTGTACTTTAAGCAAAAAAGCATTTCATTTTCTAATGTTTTGGGAAGAGAAAACTAGAGATCTACATTCACTTTTATTTCCTACTGTTTTTTCATTAGAGTTGTGAACATAAGAACTGCCATACTGGGTCAGACCAATGGTCCGTGTAGCCCAGTATCCTGTGTTCCGACAGTGCCAATGCCAGGTGCTTCAGAGTGAATGAACAGAACAGGCAATTGAGTGATCCATCCCCTGTCATCCATTCCCAGCTTCTGGCAGTCAGAGGCTAGGGACACCCAGAGCATGGGGTTGCATCCCAGATCATCTTGGCTAATGGCCACTGATGGACCTCCAGGAACTTATTTAATTCTTTTTTTGAACACTGTTATAGTTTTGGCCTTCACAATATCCCCTGGCAACGGGTTCCACAGGTTGACTGTGTTGTGTGAAAAAGTACTTCCTTATATTTGTTTTAAACCTGCTGCCTATTAATTTCATTTGGTGACCCCTGGTTCTTGTGTTATGTGAAGGAGTAAATAACACTTCCTTATTCACTTTCTCCACACCAGTCCTGATTTTATAGACTCTATCATAGCCCGCCTTAGTCATCCCTTTTCCAAGATGAAAAGTCGCAGATTTTTAATCTCTCCTCAGATGGAAGCTGTTCCATACCCTTAATCTTTTTTGTTGCCCTTCTCTGTACCTTTTCCAATTCTGATACCGTTTTTGAGATGTAGTGACCAGAACTGCACATAGTATTCAAGGTGTGGGTATGCCATGAATTTATATAGTGGCATTATGATGTTTTCTCTCTTATTATCTATCTCTTTCCAAATGGTTCCTAACATTGTTAGCTTTTTTGACTGCTGCTGCACACTGAACAGATGTTTTCAGAAAACTATCCATGATGACTCCAAGATCTCTTGAGTGATAAAAGTTAATTTAGATCCCATCATTTTGTTGGGATTGTTTTTTCCAACGTACATTACTTTGTATTTTTCAACATGTAATTTTGTCTGCCATTTTGTTGCAGCTATGGGCTAGGGGTAAACATTCACCTGTGATGGAATAGCAATGGGGGAAATGGAGCAATTGAGAGGGTGAGTTGCTGTCCTGTTGCTTCCTCCAAATTAGCACCTGAGCAAACAGCTCAGTATGACATCTGCATAGAGATACTGAGGAGGAGCTGCTGCCCCATTTTTTGCCCCTAAGAACTTCGGGGCAACAGCCTGATCCCTGCCCAACTGTCCTGAACCCTCAATGATCTGTTACCTTGAGTGAGTGACCAGGGTTCATATAGCAAGGGCACCAGCTGAGTCCTGGGGTTCCAGAGTAATTATAAGTGTTGAGAAAGATGGAGGAGCTCGAACAAACACAGGCAAGGGTCAGGGCTTTGGGAGGATTGACTCTCATGTCATCACTGCGACTATGACACTGTGCTAAGGCTGATAACATTGTTTAAAGGTAGTTGAGCTGTCTGGGCTCATCTACATGAGGTGGGCAGGGGATAACCTGCAGCTTTTTGATGCATGTCAAGTAACGTGCAGTAGTCAAGTTGCACCAATAGTGTGCCCTCTCCCAGTGTGCATCATTGTATACACACAGCGGCGGCTTGGGCATTCTCAGAGGTTATCTCATGGTCCTTTGATTCGCTGCTGAGCAGTGTGCATTCTGGGATTTTTTGCACTGGGATGCATAAGCAAAAAATGTTTTAAATGCCATGTTTCCTTTGTCTCCACTCCATACTTCCTTTCTGGGAAGGTTAGCACCATTTGCAAATTGGTGTCGGCCAGCGTGGGCCCAACAATGCTTCATGCTGGCCACTGCAAATCAATAGAGGCTGCTTGGGCTGTATTTCAGCACT